TAATCATTTTCAATATTCATAGAAAAGATAAGTCAGGCGAGCCTTCCAAAAAAGTATTGTAAAATAATATAAAAAAATTTTTCATCAATTGTGTAACGATTTTGTGACGTATCAACGTTTCCTCCTGTTTGACTAAAATGTTATTTACGTACGTCATGTATGAAAATTGACCCGGATTTAAAATAAATACCCAAATTTAAGGGTTCAATTTAAAATCCACCCACCCATTACCCCTAAAGCAGGGACGATGATTTTCTGCGGTGATAAATAGTCAACTCCGTCCATGATAATGTAAATTTCTGCGTAATTTTGCGCTCCAAATTTATGAATTCTGTATTAATCTGTGCATCAAAATTTATGAATTTTGCGTTTGTCATAATAGAGAACTCGAATATTCTGCAACCATTATTACTTATTTTTCGGATTATTTCGGATAATATTCAAAATTTGGTTATTTTCTACATCGGGACTTTCGGAGGATATAGGTTTGGAATTGTTTACCTATAAATAATTACATTCCATGATATTTCCGTGCTATACTCCTACTTTCTGCGACAATTCCGTGCTATTTTTGACACATTCCGTGTTTATCCACCAATTCCGTGATTCTGCGGCATTCCGTGAAATGCAGTCCCTGCCCTAAAGCTGTTTATTAACCCTAAAAAATGACAAAAAAAATCGCACCCTCAAAAATCTGCATTTTCCATGGCTTTTCTAATTATTGCTCATCCCAGAAATTTTAATTTTTAATTTTTCACATCTCTAACTAATGGGACCAAATTTTTTTTTCTTTACGTATAACCCTAATGAAAAATTGGCATATTTTTGCGTTATTATTACATGTAGCTGTCTACCCATTATAAAACTTCATCCTTAGCATCATTGTTATTTTATATTGTTATGCAAAATCTGATTGCACCTCAACAAGGCTCTTGATATATTTATTAAAAACGAAAGTTTGTTTTTTTTTTTAAGTGATCGAAAAGTTCGTAGAAACTGTTGAACCAAATGTTCGTAAATGCTAACTAACTATAGGCATTTACATATCTAGTTGATTCATTTGTATATATAACTTATATTCTATTAATAATGTGTCGATAATAATGTATTCTCTATTTCAACTTAAAGTTTTATTACTAGTTTTTTTTCTTCTGGCTCCAATCTTTTGTAGTTCTTATAACCAATAAATACTGTAACTGGTTTTAAATAAATATTCAGTATATACTATTAAACATAGTTAAAGAACTAAAAAGTTTTGACTTTTCAGTATTCTTTTATAAATATAGGGAACTTTAAAATAACGTTTTTTGATCTTAAAAACAGTTTTATAATATTTGGTTCTTTGCTAGAAAATGACGCCTCCGGGACTATATAGAATTACAAATAAAATTTAAAACTACTAACCATCCAATAATTTATCTGAATAAAGTTTTATTTATTTATTATTATTTGTAGCGTTCGCTAAGGTCTATAAAATAAGAAATATTTTACAGTATCTATGCCTGTAACATTTTGATTAAAGTATTTACAGATGACGTCATGACTAAAAAACTTTTTGATGTTCACGGGAGAACATTAAGGATATAAAAAAGTTTATTCAATTGAATCATTGGATAGCTAGTAGGTTTAAATTTTATTTATTAATTCTGCATAGTCACGGAGGGTCATTTTCCTAGCAAAAATTCTCATTTAGCTATTTCATTAAGTTAGCAGAAAAACTTAAATCGTAAGCTTATATAATTGGTAATTGAAGGTTCTTTGCAATGGAATTTATTAATTTTTATACTTTTGTAAATCTCTATAAAAATAATAGTACTTTAATTTTGTACTGCTTCTCTAATAAATATATAATCTGGAAATTCTCTATTCGAATTCCTTTTATTTTATTAATAAATTCAGTTTACTCATGCAATATGCACAGTACGTGAAGCTTGGTGTATGAATTATATTTTTGTGCGCAGTTGTCTATTTTAAATTCCATTCTAACCCGGCAACATAAATTAATTATTAATTTCATTTATAAAGTATTATTCTGTATAATTACGCATTAGGCCGTTCGAAGTTAATTCTTCGGTTAACATCACCTTTAGAACTCTTGGGGGGGAGGGGGCAAAATGAAACGAACATATAAAAATGGGTCAATTTCATTGGTCGACGTAAGTCATGTAATTGGCGAGAGTAATCCAGCGTTTTGATTGGTTGTTCGTTTATCGGGGGGAGACTTCAGCGGAGGGGGGGGATGATGTTAACCGAAGAATCAACTTCGAACGGCCTTATGTAGTAACAAAAAAAGCTCACTATCGGAAATAAGTTTGCGCATGTATACATCGTGCATACAAAAAATTCTCCAGTGAAGCTAAATTTGTATGCATTTTGCTTGTCGAAATTAATACTTTCTTAAATGTGTAAAAAGTTTGGAATTTAATTAATAATCCAAGATCATTATGATAAATTCAGGATTAATGGATTAATGAATAATACCCCGAAGTGATATGTGTATAAAGTAGAATGAAATTGGCGATAGTTTCTAATTTTCCAGAATATTGTCATTAAAATTAGCTTTTAAGATCTAAATGCATACACTACTTAAATATGTTACAACATTTATGACAGACAGTATGAAATTGGAATAGTATCAACTATATTTATGTGTTTCAAGATACGAGTTTGTCTTCGAATTCCGAAATTCATTTCTGGTTTTACAATTTGAAAATTAGTATTTTTGAAAATAAACTCATGAGCACCATCACACGATAACGATTGTAAACGTGATTTTTTACTAATAAAATGCAAGAATACTAAACAAGCAATAACAGCTTTTTTTTTGTTCATTCTAGATATGAAAATCATGCACGATAATACTGTACTATGCAGCAATTAAGCAAATAAATATATACGAGATACTACCCAGCTTAGTAATCCGTTTAGGGGACTATCACTTATTACGTAATTATAGCCCCTCAAATCTGGGCCGACAATTTACTAACTCTGGTACTCTAGTAGTTAATTTCGCCCCCAGAGAGGGGGGCTATAATTACGTAATAAGTGATAGTTCCCTTACCAAATAGTTTAAGGGTACAGTATATTGTCCATGATGTTCGTTAAATTTAACTAGAAATCAGTGTGATATATTTGATAAGGCGTGTAGTCGGAGAATTCAATCATTAACCTTTTAAACTCCGGAGCGAGTTCATTATAATCTCTTTCAAGTTTAAATGGTTTGAATTAATAAGCGAGTGTAGTGTTCCGAGTTGATTAAAATTTTTTCAATCAATTAGTTGACAACTTAGTTGTCAATTAGTTGCAACTAATCGTCACATGTTCAATAAATTTGATTGGCATGATAAATAATCACGTGTTTTCTGTATCATTTAAAACCATTCTGATTGGCCAAAAAAATTCTACGTTTTAAATTTATTATGTAGATAATCAACCAACGATTAGTTGGTTAAAAAATTTCTATCGATTAGTCAACTAGTTGTCAACTAGTTGGTTTTTCAACTAACGATTAGGATCACTAAGCGAGTGTAATAATTGAGACCAAATTATATTTTTTTGCTATAAAAAAAAAAGATAGACAATACTCATCGTTATTAAGATCAAAAATGTTATTGATGTAGAATAGAAGTCTTTGCAATTAAAGAAACTGTACCTCGAAATCCATACGATTCTCCGATTGTGCAATGTCTGATTTAGCCAAAAATATAATTTAGACAATTTTATAAAAATGAATAAAACAAACAAAATAAATCTAGATTTTACCATTTAATAGCTTAATTGCTTTTTCATGCTTATTTTCAGCTGTTAATTTTAAATAATCTAATCCAAGTTCCTTATTTTTTTTCCACATTAAGCTTTCCATTTAAATAAATATCACTCAGATAATACGTTGTATCATGGTTCTTATTATTAGCTGTTAATTTGAAATAATGTAAAATTTCTTCACAAAGTTCATTTTTTCTAGCGATATTTTGCTCGCTTCTTAAATTGTTAAGCAATAACACTACATTTCGAAATTGTGCATCTGGATGATCGCTGTCAGCAGCATCTTTAAAGAGTTCTATAGCACGCCTTTCATCTTTATCAACAACACCATATTCATGCACAAATAGTAACCTTGCCAATATTTTGAAGTGTTATCACCAAGCTTTGCATTATGTCTAAAGCATCTTCACGCATTTTTGTGATCTCCCTTTTTATGAAGATCGATGGACCATTCTCAGATTCTGGAGATGCTATGCTTCCATCAAAGTTTAATGTTTTATTTTCTAAAAGTATTGGAGCATCAGGAGGAATTGGATAGGTTGCGGCTAATTGTTCAAACACTTTTTGCAATTCCGTAACACATATTCGCTCATACGGTATATGCTTCCATGCTGTTTATTGATTAAAAATTAAGTATAAAATATTTCAAATAAATTTAATTTATTTTCTTTCAGATAAATTAAACTTAATGCTTTCAATAATTTTAATAAATTCTTCTTGAATTTTCTTATCATTGGGACCATTAAATTCCTCTGTTAAAAGCTTTTCTCTTTAACGATTTAATACATGTTCTGATATTTTTGGAATATCCAAATTTTTATAAGGCAATTTTTATAACAAAGTTCCCAAATGAGCATTCCAAAGCTGATAATAAATAATAACGTTTATATTAAATTACAGCTCTAAAAGACCATTAAAATTAAACAACAAATACCTAAACATTTCACAATTAAATATATATATATTTTTTTGTTCTTTATATTTCTTAATCAATTCAGGTGCCATCCAACGAATAATACCAGGAACTAAATGAAATAGGTCCCTGGTCTTCGCATCTAATTTACGAGAAGATTTAAAATTTCCAATTTTTGGATCCAAGTAGTGTAAAATCTATAATTTAATAAATTTATAACTCATTAACTCATTAACTTTTATACGATAAAAAATATTATTTATTTTTATTATACATACAAAAAAATTTTTGCATCTCATATCGTGGTGTAAAACACTTGCAGATCGTAAAGACACAAGACCACGGCAGATATCTCGAACAATTTGTATTTTTCTAGTCCAAGGAATATCAAATTTATTGTAACGCTTTTTTAAAGTTCCAAATTCAGCCCAATCAAAGACCATAACATCGTAACAATCAATATTTGAAAGACCATAGAACTTGAGAACGTATGGTGATTGACTTAATATTCTAAGAATTTCCAATTGAACTTTAAATTCATCATTTTTTCATCATTTAGTTTATCTTTAATAGATTTACATGCAACATCTACATAATTTTGATGGAATTTCCTAATAATAGGGTAAGATTCTGAACCACAAAACTTTTGACAAATAGAACTAAAGGAGGTTCATATAAATGGCTTTGGTCGATTCTTTGCGCATGTATATTATCTGGTTGTCGAGTTCTTAAAATGTTCATGGTATCGAGTTTGTTATGAATGTCTTTTACACCACAATCAAGTTCTGAGAGTCTAAAATAGACAATGAAAGTAAAATATTAAAACCAACATAATAAGAACGAATATTCTTAAATATCTATGCATACATTTTTTTCGTTCATTAGAGAACTGCCAACTCTTTCAGCTTCCATTATTTTTTGGTCATCACTAGCAAAAAATTTCATACATTTTTCATATTCTTCAATTAAGTTATCAAATTTTTTTTTTTTTAATTTCCGTTGCGTTAAGAAATCTTTCACGCTTTGATATTTTAGTAGTAAATTCTTTAATATTTTTTAAAACAATTTCAAATCTTTTAAAAGATAAATAATACTTTTGAAAATAGTTTTCATTCTGATTAAAAGCTAACATTTGAGTCATAGCACACTTTGCAATTGTTACTCAATTTGTCATAATTAAACAAATATCTTTATTACATTCTGCGTATTCATAAATTTTTTCAATTTCATCAGCTAGAATTTTACCATATTAATGAATGGAACGTATTAAGCTGCAATTTTGGTAGCAGTTAAAACTGTAGCATAACTAAGATCAGAAACGTCATCGTTGGTAGTCATTATTAAGTGTTTTACATTATTTTTTTTTTTCATCTTCGCGATCCTCACGGATTTCAACAGCAAATTTTTGCTATGTTAGGACGTAAATTTGGTTCATCGTTCCAAGCGTCGCAATAAAATCTTCATAAAGTCAGCCGGAGTTCCGTTAATAGGTGTTTCTTTTTTTACCATAAATTACATTAAAAGCTATTTCATATTGATCAGTTACATTTTTAAAAGGAGGCACACCACTTGATAGCTCCCAGAAGAGTACACCAAGACTATAAATATCTGAAGGCTTATCTCGTTTATATAAAAATTGGCTTTGGAGATATTTTGGATCGGAAAAAGCACACATTCCGCCATGAATAGATTTTGAGTTATTGTCCGATAATTTAGATAAGCCGAAATTAATTTACCATTATGCACTAATATATTCTTATCATGCTATAATAATATTATTAATATGGATATTATAAAGTGAGAAATAAAATAATAAGAAAAAACAACTTACAAGATCACGATGAACGATATCTGCATTGTGTAAACAATTAATCCCGTTAGAGAAATTTCTTTTGCCATTTTAATTTTAGTTGTCCAATCCAATTCTTGGAAATAATCATGTAAATAAGAGCGAAGGTCACCGTTGTTAGCCAATTGAATAACCATATAGTATGTTTCAGTCTGGATCTATCGCACAAAAAAATTATTATTAATTAATTGATACATTATATAACATTAATATACCTTGTGTGATTCCAAAGAGCCGTACTATATTTTCATGATATGCAATACTGGTAATGTTTTTAACCTTATCGCATATTATAGAATGCAATAAAGCCAAGATGTAATAAAATATAAATAAGGACAAATAAAAATAAAAGAATGATTTTATAAAAATGATTAATACTTCTTTAATAAATAACATCCAAAGTAATATCATTATCATAATCTACATTCTTTAAAACTATAGTTTTTTCAATATCACTCGAATAAGCACTATATATAATACCAAACCCCCCTCTACAAATTTTTTTCCAATTCTGAAAAGAATCGTACTTGAATAGTTCAATACATTTTTTTCGATAGCAACTTTGAGCTAATTTGACATATCTGTTTTTCGTGTTTTAAGTTTAAGAGGATAAAATGATCATGTAATATGGTATAGCAATGCGTATAAATTTAAATACAGAACACTGCTAGTTGGACAAAAATTACACAAACAATCAATACTATTTCAGGGACCGTGAAAAAACTTGGTCTGTTAATTAAGGTTATTTGTAATTAGAGATCTAAATTATTTTAATTCAGGACTGTAAGGTTGGATCGCTAATTCTTTATACAAATTTTACACATCGGGAGAAATATTTTAATAAAACTGTTTATTTTGAGATAATTTTTATGGTTTTACACTACTAGTGCGTAAATTATGAATTAGGTAGCTAAGAGTCGCGTCAAAACCAAGAACGTGGAATGCACTTGAGACAGTTTAAAATATTGAAGATTAGTGATGTGTTTATTTATTTTTGAATTTGTGTCTAAATATTTACTTGCTAAGGGCAATGACAAATATTAGCTAATATTTTTTGGGTGGACAGGAATGGTAAAGTTCAGTCCTAGTCCGGCCCTGGTTCTATAACCTGTTGGTTTTACCGCATGGACTTACCGACTAAGTCTTTATAAACCTGTCCTAAGTTAACTTAGGGCCAGCCCAAGACATAGACCCAGAATTTAGGTTTATATCGAACTTTTAGATCTAAACATTAAATAAACAATCACGAATTTAATTAAGTTTATATAACTTACATCAATATCTGATATCGATTCCTTGTTAACATTTATTTGCTTATTTTTAATGTTTTTTAACATATTATATTCTAAAAATGATAGATCAGACTATTATTATTTCTTTTTGTCCAAATTAATAACATGAAATTGTTAATAATTAAAAAAAAAAAAAACTTATACAACACTGTAGATAAATGAATGAATACTGGTAACTATTATTTTTATTATATATTTTTCCAAGTTTTAATATAAAATTTTTAGCACAAAATTTTTCATGTTAGAATTATTACATTACCACACATCACATTTGAATTATCTGAAACTAAAGACATTACCAACCTACTCTGAGACGATATGTTTACAAACTGAAATATATTTATACTAATATTGTCAAATTTTAAATTCTTATACTGTAGTCTAAATTCATGCACGCTTAAATATACTGTATAAAAACATTTATACAGAGAATATGAAATTGGATGATATTGACTATATTTATGGTTTCTTGTTATGTCGAATTTTGAAGTTATTTCTGGAATTATAGTTTGGTTTTTGAAATAATTTATGTTATCGTTGCGACGTCTAAATTCAAGAAATAGGGTGATTCAGAATTAACTTATTTACAATCAATTGCCATTGGACAATCGGGCATGCAGTACCCGAAACCTTCTGAATCACCATAAAACAAGACGAACTTGTTTATCAGAAGACTGAAATACTAGATTTTTTATTATTATTATGTGTTAAATTACTTTTCTAGCGTATTTTGTGCATATGATTTCATTATGGTTATAAAAACTGTGTATGATAGTACTATACAGTCACTAAACCAATATATATATATACAAGATACTATACGGCCTTATAACTCGTTTATAAAAATAGCTTATACAGTTACATGAAAAGAGTATATTGTTACATTATGTCCGTCAAATTTGATAAGAAGTTTTTTTACAAAAATATAGCAGTAGTCCGAGAATTATGGCTATATTACGATTCCATCAAAACGCGTCAATGATATTGCCAACATAACATCGATCATTAATACCTTTGAAAATAAATAAATAAAAACTTTTAAACTGGGGCGACTCATTCTATTTCAAAGTTTAAATAGGTTTAATTTAAATCGGTAGCATAATAATTGCGACCAGAATATTTTTTGCTAGAAAAAAACAATAATTCATCATTAATATAATGCTGAAAAAAAAAGCAATATTATTAATGTAACATAAAAATCATAATAATTAAGGAAACTGTACCTCAAAATTCCATAATATTATCCGAATCTAATTTAAATCAAACATATAATTTAGACAATTTTATAAAAATGAATAAAACATAAAACTTAATAGTTTAAATTTTCACCTTTTAATAGTTTAATTGCTTTCTTATGATCATTTTCCGCAGCTAATTTTAAATAATCTATTCCAAGTTCCTTATTCTTTTCCACATTAAGTTTTCCATTTAAATAAATATCACCCAGATGATACGTTGCATCATAGTTTTTATTATTAGCTGCTAATTTGAAATAATGTAGAATTTCTCCACAAAGTTCATTTTTTCTAGTGATACTTTGTTCGTTTTTTAGATTGTTAAGTAATAATACAGCGTATCGAAATTGTGCATCTGGATGATCGTTATCAGCAGCATCTTTAAAAAGTTCTATAGCACGCCTTTCATCTTTATCGACAACACCATATCCATGGCACAAATAGTAACCTTGCCAATATTTTGCAGTGTTATCGCCAAGATCTGCATTTTCACTAAAGCATCTCCAAGCATTTATGTGATCTCTCTTTTTATGAAGATCGATTCCCCTTTCAAGAGGAATAAATAATGATCCACCCTCGGATTCTGGAGGTATTAAGCTTCCATCAAAGTTTAATGTTTTATCTTCTAAAAGTATTGGGGCACCAGGTGGAATTGGATAGGTTGCAGCTAATTGTTCAAGTACTTTTTGCAATTCCGTAACGCCTATTCGTTCATATGGCATATGCTTCCATGCTTTTTATTAATTAAACGAAAAATGATTAAAAATTAGTATAAAAGATTTCAAATAAATTTAACCTAATTTCTTTCAGATAAATTAAACTTACTGCTTTCAATAATTTTAATAAATTCTTCTTGAATTTTCTTATCATTGGGATCATCAAATTCTCCTGTTAAAAGCTTTTCTCTTTCACAGTTTAATACGTGTTCTGATATTTTTGGAATATCCCAATTTTCATAAGGCAATTTTTCATAACAAAGTTCCCAAATGAGCATTCCAAAGCTGATAATAATGATAACGGATATATTAAATTACAACTCTAAAAGACCATTGAATTAAAACAACAAATACCTAAACATTTCACAATTAAATGTATATTTTCTTTCATTATATTTTTTATCTTTATATTTCTTAATCAATTCAGGTGCCATCCAACGAATAATATCAGGAACTAAATGAACAAGATTCCTGGTCTTCGCATCTAACCTCCGAGAAGATTTAAAATTTCCAATTTTTGGATCCAAGTTTTGTAAAACCTAAAATTTAATATATTTATAACTCATTAACTCATTAATTTTTATATGATTAAAAATATCGTTTATTTTTATTATACTTACAAAAATATTTTCACATCTCATATCGTGGTGAAATACACTTGCAGTTCGTAAGGACACAAGACCACGGCAGATATCTCGAACAATTTGTATTTTTCTAGACCAAGGAATATCAAATTTATTGTAAAGCTCTTTTAAAGTTCCAAATTCAGCCCAATCAAAGACCATAACATCGTAACAATCAACATTTGAAAGACCATAGAACTTGAGAACGTATGGTGATTGACTTAATATTCTAAGAATTTCCAATTGAATTTTAAATTCATCATTTTTTTCATCATTTATTTCTTCTCTAATAGATTTACATGCAACATCTACATAATTTTGATAGAATTTTCTAATGATAGGGTAAGATTCTGAACCACGAAACTTTTGACAAATAGAACTAATAGGAGGATCATATAATTGACTTGGGTCGACCCTTTGCGTATGAATATTATCCGGTTGTCGGATTCTTAAAATGTTCAAGCCTTGGACTATGGTATCGAGCTTGTTATTAACACCTTTTACATCACAATCAAGTTCGGAAAGAGTCTAAAACGAATTGAAATTAAAATAAAAAAATAGTAATAATAATAATAAAACAAATCTTAAATGATTATGCGTACTTCTCTAATATTCTTTAAAGAATTATCGACTCTTTCAGCCTCTAACATTCTTTGGCTTTCACTTGCAATTGCCATAGTAAAATTTAGGTCTTTCATACTTGTATCATATTCTTCAGTTAATTTATCAAATTTTTTTTTAATTTCTGATGCGCTAAAAAATTTTCTATAACCTTCGAGTTTTGACACTTTAGTAGTAAATTCTTTAATATTTTTTAAAGTAATTTCAAATCTTTTAAAAGATAAATAACATTTTTGAAAATAATTTTCATTCTGATTAAAAGCTAACATTTGAGTCATAGCACATTCTGCAATTGTTACTCTATGAGACATAATTAAACAAATATCTTTATTACATTCTGCATCTTCGTAAATTTTTTTAATTTCATCAACTAAAATTTTCACCATATTAACAAATGGAACGTATGAAGCTGCAATTTCAGCAGCTGTTAAAACTGCATCAGCCGCAGCACCACTAAGGTCAGGGACGTCATTGTTATGAGCGGTAGCCATGATTAAATAAATTGCTTTTTTTAATTTAAGCTATTTATATAAAAATTTGATATGCATTATACTGGTTTGAGTTAGGCTGTACAAATTTATCGTTATGCATTTACCGGATTTCACTTAATTTACTGAAATTCCCAGAGCTGCAAAAAAATATAAATAGTCGGCCGGATCAGCTGCACAATTATGTAGGAAAATAACGAATGAAAATTGCAGAATTCTGCACACAAGTATAGAAGTGCTGCACTTATAAATTGCCTATCATTCTTCTGAACACAAATTGGATGTGTAGTTAATAACCTATGCTGCATTAAAGATAACTTAATTCCTAATCTTTAGAGCGAGGTTTATAAAAAAATGCTTTCGTGAAAAACTCCTGTTTTCAAGGTCGATGCATATCATGTATTCATGTACAAATAAAGAAGGTTACTAAAATTTGTGTAAATGCTTTCATTAAATGCGTAAAAAATTTTAGTTTAATTGATGTAATTTCTAGATTACTATAATAAATTTACGGAGTGAATAATTAATAATAACATGGGTGATTTGTATAAAGCGAAACGAAGTAAACGAAGTTTGCGTTAATACCTAATTGTCCAGGATATATTGTTATCAAAAAATTAGTTCTTATGGTCTAAATGTATTATTGCTTAAATGTGTGAAAACATCTATAACGGATAGTGTGAAATTAAGCAGTATCGACTATACTTTATAGATTTCTGATTTCTGGATTCCAAAGTTCAATTTTGGAATTATAGTTTGAAAATCAATATTTTTGAAAATAAATTTGTAAGTGTTGCTATTAAAATGTCAATTGTAAGCGTAAGAAATGGAAGATGAATTTGTTTACTAAATTACAAGAAATGTTAGATATTTTTTTATTGTGTTTATTATAGTTATCATGTTTATGTATAAATGTATAGTGAGTTATTTGTTAAATTC